ACAACACATTTTGGTTTTAAAATTCCTACTTTGCTCGGCTGCTCCCCCAAGTGCGAATAACACCACTTCTTTTGATCGTACGGTGTGTCTGACTTCTTACTACCGGTTGGCAACGGCGTGAACGTCATCCACGTCATCGCATTATTCTCTATCGACGTTTACAAAGGAATGTTGTCGCTGTTTCCAGGGTCCAGCGAGACCAACAACAACAGCAGCAAAGCCGCCAACAGGGAGGGTGGAAAGGACACGAGGACCGAGACGACAGGTACCGTGAGCACGTCTGCACTCCATTCTTTTCTTTTTTCTTTTCACTTTCGCGCACACACTCTTTTTTCGGTTATCTTTTTCTTTTGCGCGTTTCGGGTGGAGGGGACGCACTCGGAACCGCTTTTGCACTGTTACACTGTGGCGGGGCGGGTCGGGTCCTGCCCTCCCCGGGTGTCCGACGGGGTCCTCCTTCCTCGCGGGGGGGCTTGGCGATGACGTCGTCGGTTGGTTGTTCTCCCCAGCAGGCGGTCGCCGGCGCGGTGCGCGTGGGGGTGGTGGCATGTCCAAGTCCAGGTCCAGGTCGGACCCGGAGCTGGCTGGGCGCATCAGCTCTTCCAGAGCGCGCCGGCTGCGGAAGTACCGGTGCAAGATGCGGCGCGCGCAGCTGGACAAGGAGGCCGACGAGCAGGCCGACGAGCAGGACAGGGGCACGCGGAGCGCGAGCGCCAGTCGGCGCGGCAGCGTGGACCGAGGGAGTATCGGCGAGGAGGGTGGCGCTACCCCAGAGCGAGGGGGCAGCGTCCCGCCGGACGTACCCCGCCGGCTCGTCGAGAACCCCCTCTTCGAGGACGACGCGGCCCCCGGTCCCCTCCTCGGCGGGAGCTGGCGCAGGTCAGCGGCCAGCCTAACGGACTCGGCCCGCGACAGCCCGGAGCTGGACGACGTCGAGGGTCTCGAGAGCTTCGTCATCATCGTCACCGAGGAGCACGGCGGCGGTAGCGACGACGGCGACCCCGACCGAGAGTCGGAGGTGACCATCAAGGAGATCGAAGAGATCGTCGTGGACGTCGGATCCATGACCCCCAAGACTGTGCTGGACCTCGGGGGCGCGGCACACCCCCTGGAGAAGCACCGCTTCCCCGAAAAGCTCCCCCTGGAGATGCACCCTCCCACGGCGGAACTCGCCCTCGAGAAGGGCTCCGAGACCGAGACTGCAGTTGTGATACCCGCTGAGGCTACCGAGTGGCCCGGGGCGACCCCCATACATTCCAACTTCTCATCGGCGTGCAGCCTGGACGAGGCAGCGCCCGAGGGATGCCACGAAGAGACTGACGAAGCCGAGCCCAGGCAGAAGGGCCGGAGCAAGGTGAAGAGGTACCCCAGCATCGTGGAGGCCTACCTGGACCACAAGATCAAGCAGTGTGAGCTGGCCATACAGCGGCTCGACTCACCGCCCGTGGGCGAGCAGGAGCGCGCCGAGAGTCCGGTGCTGGTGGAGCACTGTGCCGCGCAGGAGGAGGTGCAGGACGGCGACGGCGAGGGCTGGGAGTTCGTCGGGGAGCTCGCCACCGAGG